AGAGATTCAGCTATGGTCCCTCCACTTAGTCCTTGTAGAAATTTACCCAAGAAATTTAATCTTTTGGGGTCTGAGGTGCTTCATCCACATAATGGAGATAATACCATACAGAAGTGTGGTGAGGATTAGATATGATGTATATAAATGAACTGTGCCCAGCATATTACAGTCGTAAATCAACTGTGCCCAGCATATTATAGTCATTTGATTAGTGGTAGCTATTTTTGTAGTTATCCGATTTTCACATATATCTAAGCAGTCGTATGAATGAGGGCTATAAGAGGCATGTGTGCAAGCAGAAAGTCACAGGACTAGAGAGTGAGAATACATGTTTGGGTGTGATAATGTTCCTAGCCCTGACAACTTCTGGCAGGTGGGCATTTAAACAATGCTTTTCGATGATGAAACTGTAAGACTTAAAAAAGACATATTAGAATTACTTTTGAAAGATGCTGTATTATAATTCTATCACTGAAAAAGTAGGTTAAAATAAAAAGGAAGGATAAAAAGTACCACTTATTCTCCTAACTGCTCTGAGAAATAGGTTCTTCCTCACACAAGTAGAGCACAATGTGCTGGCTATTTAACTCTAAATACAACAGTCATATTGAAAAGTACATAGTTATCAGAGAAGACTGAGGAGAGCCAGCTACTGAAGCTCTCCCTCCCTCAATGTGGCACGTATCACTCATAGATAGCACAGTTCTCACTGTGAAACAGGGATCTCTGAAAGGGAATAGCAGTGGAAATCTAAGTGCTTTGGGTCTGCTGTGTTACTTAATTTCACACCAGTCCTGTGAGGCAGGTAACATTACCCAAATTTTATAGATGAATCTCAGAGAAATAATGTCTCCTTGGTAAGAGACAGCTAGAGAGAGGTTCAATCTAGGTCTGATTAGCTTTCTGCCAGGTTGTTAACTAGGAAGAAAGACATTCATTTTCCACTAATATAATATTTGACACATAGTAGATACTCAAAGAATCTGAAATGAATGGGCAAATAAATCATGTAATGCAGGGATGATTTGCTGAGGCTGTCAGCAGGAAATGATGGTAAGACTACTTTCTACAGAATGGTTTTGCCAAATGTTTAGAACAACGAGTATTTTAAGCACTACACTGTGAGCTTCTTCTTTAAGGCAAGTACTGTCTTTATATCCCTCAGGCCTAGACAATGCTGGAATAAAAGAATATACTATTTGACATTTCATCCTAATGCAGAGGATTCCGAAATTATAGTTGTAAATGAGACTGCCTAGATTCAAACCACATCAGTTTAAGTTTGTAGCATTTACTCTTATAATGTTAGAGTTGACCTCTAAAAAAACAGAAACAAAACAAAACAAACTCAACCATGTAGCTTGTCTTGAAAGCCCAATCTCCCCACGGCACATCTGTACAGAGCACATAGGGGCAGAGCCAGACTCTGCACTAACAGCAAATACAATATGGAGGCTATAAAATTCTTGAGGTGAAAAGAAGAAAATAATGCTGAGAGAAAGGCCATCTTGTGACAGCTGCTGTGGCTAAACAGCTTGTGTTAATGCTTTCCAGGGTTCCATGTGAGTTTACATTAAATCCAGCGTGGGTGCCTGACAATCACAGCAGGGGCTTCTTCATGACTTATAATCCGAACACACTGGTTGGCACCCACCACAGCACATCTGGAGTTTGTTAGACAACCTTTAAGTTTTAGTTTTTTTGTTGGCTCTGGCCCCTTCCTCTGATGCAGCCTCTCCAAGCTCTGCTTTGCCATGAATGAGTCACGGAAATAAGTTACCCTGGGGTGGGTATGTAAATTGGGACCATCTTAGAGGGTGACCCCCAAATCTGTAAATCCCTTGTTGCCTCATCTCCTTCTGACAACAGGAACTGCACATGAATGCCAAGAGCCCATCAGGCAGTGGCAGTTCCATTTACTGGGAAGCCTGGTCAATGCTGACTGCTTCCTTGTTAGGAAATGGCCTTTAGATTGAGGCACATTCCAGCAACTCAAGGACTAGAAGCTTTAAATTAAAACAATATTGATGCCATATCCTCTTTCCAAAAGGCCTCTCCCCTGTCTAAAAGTTAGTATACACACTTAGAAAAATTAAAGAATCAAATATCTTTGGCAAGACCGGTTCCTTCTTGCTCATAGTATCCTAGACACTCTTTTAGACGGCAGGAATGTGAAACTTTACATGGAAAGGAGACAGGAAAACACTGTTAGGAAGGACTCCCAAAAACTACATTTATCTTTCTCCTTACATAGATCACAAAACTATGAATATTCAGGGCATATAGTTAGATGTAAAGACATAAGCCATTATGTTTAAAGATTGTAAGTTCAAGGATTAATTAATATCTGAACTTTCACCTACTGAAAACATATAGTCTTGAGAACCAAGTAATCAAAAGCTACTATGAATGAGATGCAGTACGCTAGTCTGCTAGACATTTTATTATATTTGGTATCTTATAATTTTTTAAAATGTTTTATTTATTTCTGAGAGAGAGAGAGAGACAGTGTGAGCAGGAGAGGGTCAGAGAGAGTGGGAGACACAGAATCTGAAGCAGGCTCCATGCTGAGCTGTTAGCACAGAGCCCAATGTGGGGCTCGAACCCACAAACCGTGAGATCATGACCTGAGCTGAAGTTGGACACTTAACCGACAAAGCCACCCAGGCGCCCTCCTTATATTTGGTATCTTAGAGTAGAGAGACCACTATTTAAACCTTATGTCCATATATTCAGGCCTAATTACTAGGAGAACTGATATTGCTACATGTACATATTCACAAACTAGTGAACGTCTTTCTTCAATAATACCCTCCTTTTTCACATATCTGCAGACCTCCCACTGAAGTATAACTGACAAATATAAATTGTATGTATTTAAGGTATACAACATGATGTTTTAATATATGTATAAATTGTGAAATCATTATTACAATAAAACTAATAAAAACTAATTGCCATTTCTATCACCTCCCAGTTACCTTTTTTTTTCTTTTAGGTTTATTTACTTTGAGAGAGAGAGAGAGAGAGAGCGAGTGAGCAAGCACAAGTGTGTGGGGAAGGGGCAGAGAGAGATGGAGAGAGAGAATCCCAAGCAGGCTCCATGTGGGGCTCCATCACACAAAGCATGAGATCATGACCTGAGCTGAAATCAAGAGTCAGATGCTTAACTGACTGAACCACTCTAACTATATTCCCCAGGATATATATTAGATCCCAAGAAAGTATTCATCTTGCATAAGTGAAACTTCATACCCCTCACCAACATCTCCACATTTCCCCTACCTTCTTAGGCCATTGCAACCACCATTCAACTCACATCAGCTTTGATAAGCCGAATTTCAGTTTTGAACTACTGGACAGATATCTTTAAAAATTTTTTTAATTAAAAAAACCTTTTTAATGTTTATTTATTTTTGAGAGAGTGTGTGTGTGAGCAGAGGAGGAGCAGAGAGAGAGGGAGACAGAATCTGAAGCAGGCACCAGGCTCTGAGCTGTCAGCACAGAGCTTGATATGGGGCTTGAACTCATGAACAATGAGAACATGACTTGAGCCAAAGTCAAACGCTCAACTAAGCCACCCCGGAGTCCCCATGTCTTTAAAATTAAACACATTCTTCCTGCTTGACTTAACAGGGATCCAAATACTGGCTGATGTCCTCTTCTTATGACAAATTATTTTAGGACACTGGAAAAGTGTCTTTTGCTTATAAATGAGCAATGAGTTGGGTTTTTCGGCTGGTCATCTATCTATCCTGCAGAAAAGAGACATCTTTTGGTATTTTCTCAGCAAAGTCAGCCACATAAACATAAAATTTATTTCTACACAGCTTTAATAATGATCTACAAACAGAAATATTTTTATTGTGAAAATACTGATTCTTGTTAATGTAAACATTAAATATTATGTAAAAAATGCTATCAATTGATGACTGATCAACTAGAGTAGAAAAGAAGTAATTCCTTCACTTGAAAAACTCTTTCCCAGTCCTATTACTTCAGGTAGAAGAGCAAATGAAGGCAGACACAATGCAGACAAAATGTGTCTGAGAATGAAGATACTAGAAGAAAGGGTTTGTGGACACTGCAAATAGTACAGGAATGGCCAGTGAAGAGCATTAAAGATAAAGCAGGGGACTTAGATTCAGCTTTCTCTTTATTTTCTAAGATTTTCCCCCCAGTTTTAAAATTGTGGTAAAATATATATAACATAAAATTTATCATTTCAGCCATTTTTAAGTGTATATTTCTGTCCACTAAGTACAGTTACATTGTTGTCCAAGCATCAACAAAGGGGAAGTGTTTAGCTTGTATTTCCATAGGTCTTACATAAATATTAAGCATTACATTTGGGGAGGGTTTAGGCTTGGAAAAGAAATTGGCAAAACTTTGCCCTTACCTTTGAAGCATACTTAGCTCTGAATAGATAGAAATTGTTTAAGTAAAAATATACCTTCTGTAGTGGGGCTTCGATTAGATGTAAGAAATGAGCCTTTTTCATTTTAAGTGAATACATCTAGCCAATGCACAAGCTAAAAAATGCTCTCAGGAATGCCTGGGTAGCTCAGTTGTTGAGCAACCAACTCTTGATCTGGGCTCAGGTCATGAGCTCACAGTGGTGAGACTGAAGCCCAGATAAGGTTCTGCGCTGGGTGTGGGGCCTCCATAAGATTTGCTTTCTCTTCCTCTGTTCCTCCCCAGCTTGAGCATGGGCACCTTCTCTTTCTCTCAAAAACAAAGAAAACACTCTCATTAGAGACTTGTGACATCTTCTAAACCAGTGCTCTTACCAAGAACATTCTCCAATTCCTAAATATAGCCAGAGATGTGTGAAGATTAAAGTCTCTGCTTATGAAAACTAACTAGATACAAAGATCAGATATCTAATATGAGACATGAGACCATAAAGTACAAATTGGCAAAGATAAAGGTAGAGAACGGTGTGAAAGCTGGTTCTACTGACCCTCCACAGTGGGGCCCTCTCTGGCATTTAGTTATACCTGCTGTTTGAGCTGCTGTACCAGACGATCCTTTTCCCGCTTCAGGGCAGCCACTTCCTCTTGGGTTTTTTTCTTAGAGGATGAAAGCTCCAAAAGAGCTATGTTGGCATCTTTTTCACTAATGGCAGCCAGAAGAGCTTCTTGCCTACAAAATAAGGAAAATTCCAGAACTTTCATTTATCCTGAAAACAATCCCTTGAAGTTACTATTATTATCATCCCCATTATGGGTGATGAACCCAAGACTCAAGAGAGCTTATATAGCTTGTCCGAGTTCACACCAAGTAATGGTACAGCCAGGAATTCCGCTCAGGTTTCTCTGACTCTAATGTCTTTATCACCTGTTATACCGACATCTTAATAAAGAGCTCCTATAGTTATAGTTAAATTCAAAAAGTAAACAAAACTAATGACTTTTTAAAACTAAGCATAATACTGTCACCCATGCATTTTACTCATTTAACTTATTCTTTTGATAAGCATTTGGTACCTTCCTGGCAAACTGAGGCATTACTGAAACTGAAAACATTTTTATTACAGAGTATATAACCATTTATAAACATTAGTAAATAGGATTTAGAGAATCAGCCATCTGTTCTTGGGGCATTCTAAACATCTATAATTCTCTTTCTCTCATCAATGCAAATAAGTTTCCAGTCATGGCTTTATTTGGCAATGATCTGTGCACTTTGAAACAATAACTTAAATCCTACAGATTCCTTGTGGTTTGGCTAACTACTTTTTGGTTCACATCCACAGGAAAAGAAGGTAGGATTTTAAAGAGGGGTGAACATGAGAAATTTACAAAATAATCAGAACAAAGTTGGTGAACAATTAGTGTCATAGTCAAAATTGCATTCCTCAATAGCTCATCTTTTATTTAAGTCATCTCTAAGAAGGCAGATTTGATTTACAGGAACTATTTAAATGGCCTGAGCTTTTGACCTGAGGAAATGCTGAATCTGAGAATGAACTGCCCAAGTTTAACCTTGCTTCTGTCTTTTGTTAAGATAATTATGCTTCAATAGCAGTCATCTGGAAGAGTTTTAGTTTAGCCACAAACTGGAAGACTATCTTTTGCATATTCTGACAAGGATTTTCTGTTTTCTGGATGGGTAGGTCTGGAGAACTCTGAACAAGCAGTACTAACAAATGGAGGATATAGATCAGCTTACATCATGGAAATGAAGATTTGTTTCACCAGTCTTTGCTGTTGGAAGGGAAGAAGATTCTCAGTGACCCCAGTCTAATTTTCCACTGTCCCCACACTCTATATAATTCTAAAAAATGGCGGATGGCTTATCTTGTGAAGTTCTAATCAACACCAAAGGGATAACAATAGCCTAAATATATCCACTGACCACTTGAAAAAAATGTTAAGTGGTGAAATGAGCTTAAAGGTGGAGGAGTTCAAGTTGGTCTCTCTATGCACAATTTCCTGCTGACTGCTGTCATCTGCTCCCTTTGGGGAAGCTCAAACACTGACAAACGCTGGAATGGGAAATGTGTTTTCTCAATAAGGGTGCTGCAGCATTTCTGTGCACCAATAGTCAGAATTACACATTTAGCAGTAGGCGAATAACAGAAGATGAATGAAAGATAAATGACTATGCAATTAGATCGAGTAATGAGCATCTTTGCAAAATGCAAGATACAAAGGTGATGGGGTCTGAGTTCCATTCTGTGCTCAAGGAAAGCTTCATAATGTGAAATAGTAAAAATCATTCTATGTTGGTGAGGCATCTTGACTGAATTCCAAATTCTTTTATAAATGATATGCTTGGCCAGCTAGTGCGGTACAGTTAATCTCTGGGGTAAAATGTCACATTCCCAAACTGCAATATGATATAACAGGTGACAATTCAGATTCTAAATTTTAAAATAAAGGATGTGGCACTAGAGTCTGAGCCACTACAATAATGCCTTTTTACTAAGATAAAATATTTTAAGTCTTTTTTTCTTTTTATATAAAATTCAAGTTGAAATTGTATTATGTCATTTGTTATTTTTTATTGAGCATTGATAATATACTACAAACTGCACAGAATAAAACTTTCTTTCCCATACCCATTGCTCACAACCACTAAAAATTCCCTAACAGTTTAACATACCACTGTCCCTTCCATTTTAAGTGTACTCTTTACTGATTTCTACATGTGCATGTGCCTAAAATGGACAATTGATAGTCAAGAGAATAAAATGTTTTTGTTATCTGTTGCACATATAAACATATAAACTTTGGGTAATGTCAGTATCTTTAATGGGTATGTTAGCTTTTAGGTTTTTCTTTTGTTTTTGGAAAGAAAGATAGTATTGGTTTCTTGTCTATAATTCCGGTAAATGTGAAATGGACAACTATAGGGGAGAACAACCTCATTAAAAATTTGGAAAAAAAATTCCAAAGATAGGCAAGAATATTAAAGGTAATAAATAGTATCAGCCACTAATTTTTGCAAATAGGAAAAACTGTTGTTCCTTCAATACATCTGATAGAAAAGACCGTATGGTATAGGTGAACTTCTGTGGCTAAGTTTTACAGACAGCATTTGAAAGTGTTAAAACAAAAAAATTTTAGGCAATACTCTGCTTTTCAGAGGGAACAGAATACAGTGCAAAAAAAAGCAAATTACAAAAAGAATCTTATTTCAGCAGCCACTTAACTCTTAAATATAACTGATTCTTTGAAAAGAAAGGGTAACTTCTGGTAAAGGTGATTTGCATTCATGGAAGAAAAAACTGAAAGATACAGAAAACTACAAAGAAAATAAAAATGATCAGAAATAGCTCCTTTTTAATCAGAGTCTACTTGAGATGTGGAAGTCACCTATTCAAATTCAAATATGAGTATTTTAAAGAAAATGAACCTTGATGGGGATTAATAACTGGCTTTAAGAGCCTTACTAACTAACTCAAGTCTATCTACAGAAGAGGAAGACTTGCTCCTGAAGCACATTCTGACTTCATTTCCCATGAGCCCCGAGGGAGTAATACAAGCACATATAATATGAAAGGTAATATATGTATGCCACAAGCCCAGAGCAAAATAAGAACTGCAATGCTCTTCCTGCTAAATTACTCTCCTTGTTCTGTTAATGTCTTTCCCTCAGTTAAAAAAAGAAAGAAAGAAAGAAAATGTATACACAGAACCTTTCAAAGTGATTAGTGACCCCCTACTGCTTGACTAACATGCCATATTACTTGCATAATGAGTGGGTAGTAGCAGAAACCCAACTTTAAGTCATTAAAGAGGTCTTTTCACTCCATCCCTGGTGCTTTAAAGTGCATAACAGTTGAACCTGCCCTTTGACCTGAAAATTCTAATAGAATCAAGATGTCTCTAAAAGTACTCTTCTGTGTCATTTGAGCTTCAAGAAATAGTAAGACCACCTCCTTCGTCCCCTTCTCCCTTCTGAGAAATTTTGGAAACAGGAGGCAAATACTCAAGGCAAATGGAGCTCAAAATCTTTTTGAATATGCCTGAATCCTTGAGAACTACAAAACATTAGACAGCGATCACTAGTAAATAAGAAATATAATCAGTGTTGGAATGATGGTGGTTAACAATTTAAGAGTGAGTCCCAAATATGTGTTTTTAGTAGAAATGCCAGACAGAAAAGGAGTGTGGATGAAGGGATGCCACCTAGGTTTATTTTTCCCTCTTCCTCCAACTGGGTTTTTCAAATTGAATGATTACACAATCAAGTTTTATAAACTCCTGAAAACACTGAGAGATGAGATGAAAGCAAGAATAAGTCAGTTGCTTTGGATGTATTAGTGTCATGGACATGTAAGCATCGTTTAAGATAAATCTGAAATCTAGATTCTCTTATTGATGCCTCCTTGATTCTAACGCCTCCTTTACTTGTTATTTAACCATTTAAATATCCAGAGTGAGTAGTAAATTACTTGGATATCTCTTCTACTCTTCCATCAATGAGATGGAAGAAAAAAATCCTTTTGATTATTTTTTCCAATTTCACTTACAGAGGTCTCAGAGTATGGCACACAAACTACCTTAATTAGGCTCAAGTGAAAACCAGTCTCAGGTGAGGCTACTTTGGCAAGTCTGACTGAAATGCCTTTGGTCAATGTCTTATTATCTGTTGTTGGTACTCAGAAATGTCTTTAATGTAGAAAGTCAACACTAAAGAAAATTTTCCAACTACCATAACAAATTTCTCTTTCAATGTTAATTATATCACCATATTCCTAGATCCACAGGCTGACAACATCTAAATAATTTGAGTTCGTTCCTCTCCATAACCAATATTCACATTTCACTGATTCTTCCTTTCTAGTAGTTTTTAATGACATGATGGCTTTGTATCCACAGGTTCACTATCATAGTTACTATCCTTTTATCATGGGTCAGTATCATTCCTGAACCCATTCTGATTTCCCTGTCCTTGTATAATGTCCAAGTTTCCCGATTCACTTTCATCTGGTTTCTTACCACATCAAGTGTTTGGGCTTACTATTTAACCAGCTACAATTTTCAACCCTTTTCTTCTTCACCGTCCTTCAAGGACCCTATATTACTGAGTTACTACTTGTTTTCAGTCAGGTTTATGCTATGTTTTCTACCTGAAGTGCCTGTAGCTTTCCTTTAAAATCTGATTCCTCACCTGACTGCTAACTTTTCTCTATTCAGCATTTCCTTTCAGCACGTTCATAGTTTAAATGATATTAACAAGTATGTGTTCTATAAATATCCATCAACTCTTCTATATGTGCAGGGTCTGCTTCCACAACAATGATTATGGCTTATACCTTTTTTTTTTTTTTTATGATACTTTTCACGTGAGAGTATATTTCTATATAGCAATTTTATACATTTTTAAATATTTTTAAAGTATTTTTTAATTTTTTTTACAAATAGTTTATTGTCAAGTTGGTTTCCATATAACACCCAGTGCTCATCCCCACAAGTGCCCTCCAACATGCCCAACTCCCCCCGGCTTATACCTTTATAAATTTTTCTTTTAATGTTTCTATGGATTTGTTGATCTTTCAATTTATTAGCTAACTTAAAATATTTAACTTTTTATTTTTAATTGTGGTAAAATACACAGAACATAAAGTTTACCATTTTAACCATTTTTAAGTGTACATTAGGTAGTGTTAAGTACATTCACACTGTTGTGCA